CCCTGGGTAGAAGGCTGTGGTGTCAAAGCTCATGGCACCCTCCTCTTGCCTCAGCCTCCCAAGTAGCTGGGACTACAGGTGCCCACAACACCCAGCTATTTAGAGATGGATCTCACTCTTGCTCAGGCTGGTCTTGAACTCCTGAGCTCAAGTAATCCACCCTCCTCAGCCCCCTAGAGTACTGGGATTACAGGCATGAACCACTGTGCCCAGTCTTAACATTTTGGTTTTGTTTACTTCATTCCCATTTTTCTCTAAGCATATTTTTTAATTTAGAATGTATTTCATTGTTTTTTCTTTTACATTACATTTATTCGAATCATTCCCCTGTGTCATTAAATAGTCTTTTATGTTTATTTTGGCTACAAAACTATCATATAGATAAACCCCCTACTGTTAAAAATCTAGTTTTCTTTATTTAGTTATATATGATGCTGGCATGAATATCCCTTTTGTTAATCTTTGTCTACTTCTGATTATTTTCCCTGTATGGATTCACAGAAGTAGAATTAAGTTTGATAATACTTAAAAACTGCTTTTCAGAAGAGTAGCAGTTAGTCAGTCAGCCCTATATCCAACATTTGTTACTTATGAGGTTTCCTTCTCCTCATTATGTTTTCTCTGGTGTTGAATAAGCTGAGAGCTATACCGATAGGCTTTCCCACACTCGCTACATTTATAGGGTTTCTCTTTAGTGTGGGTTCTCAAATGTAGAATAACTTGTGAAGTCTGCCTGAAGGTTTTCCCACACTCATTACATTTATAGGGTTTCTCTCCAGTGTGAACTCTTTGATGATCAATGAGGTTTCGATTAGAAGTAAAAGCTTTCCCACATTCATTACATTTATAAGGTTTTTCTCTACGATGAAGTCTCTGGTGTTCATTAAGTGTCTTCCTTAAGATGAAAGCTTTTCCACACTCATCACATTCATAAGGCTTCTCCCCAGTGTGAATTCTCTGATGGTCCATAATCTTCGTATTAGAACCACATGTTTTCCCACACTCTTTACATTTGTACACTTTTTTTCCTTTGTGCATTCTCTGATGTTGAGTGAGGTTTGAACTACGGCTAAAGGCTTTCCCACATTCAATACAAGTGTAAGGCTTCTCCCCAGTGTGAACTCTGTGATGTGAAATCAAGCCTGAACTCCGACTAAAGGCTTTCCCACATTCTTTACATTCATAGGTTTTCTCCCCACTGTGGATTCCCTTGTGTCGAATGAGGTGTGACTTACCACTGAAAGCCTTCCCACATTCACTGCACGTGTAGGGCTTCAGTCCAGTATGGATTCTTCGATGAACAACAAGGTTGGAGCTATGACTGAAGGCTTTTCCACATTCCTTACACTTATATGGTTTCTCTCCTGTGTGGATTCGCTCATGTACTGTGAGGTTTGCACTCTGACTGAAGGCTTTCCCACACTCTGCACATACATACTGTCTCTTCTTAGTTTGAACTCTTGTATTTGTTGCAGAATCATCACGCTGACTGCTGTCTTTTTTAGATTCTTGGTCACTCACTTCCGTAAGTGCTTTACTGTCTTTACCTGTCTTACGTTTGAAGTTTCCCGTCTTTCTCCTCATTTTCTCCTACGTGGAGCATTCCAATGCCTCTCTAGCCTTCTCTTTCCATTTAGAGGAGCTTTGTAGATTTTGACTTCCTGGCAAAGTCTTCTGTGGAATTCTCCTGAAAATATACTGCAATTCTGTTTTTTCAGGAATGATGCTTTGGAATCAACATCTCCTCAATCCCAGTTTCACCATCTGACAGGAGAAACAGAAATTGCACATGTCACCTGTTCGCTGTACTAGAGGAAGGAGAATTGGTAAGAGAATTGAGGAAAGAGATGCAGTAGACCAAAGGGGATCATATGGAAGGATAAGTGTTCAAAGGTAGGGGAACTGATCAAAAAGATGAAAAAACTGCAGTTAGCATACAGGCCATGGTAAAGGTTTATGGAAAGCCAGGGTCTGAGAGAAGCCCCAAAGGTCCAGGATCAGAATGTCAGAATGTGCAATGAATAACATAAAGCCCACCCTAGTTTCTTCCTGCCTCATCCTCTATACTCAGAATTGGAGCCATCAAAATCCTAATGGCAGGCTCAAGTACAATCTGTTCCTAGAAAAAGTAAACTGAAAGATGATTAGTTCAGTAGCTCAAATGATTAGTTTTCAGATGAGTTTAGGTTTTAGTTCTTGCTCACTTATTCCCCTAGTAGTAGTGATATAAAATCTGGTACATAACAGGTGTTCAAAAATCATTTTATAGCATAGTAACACATGATTCCACCTAAGGGTGTAACTAAGATTTCATCATTTGCTCTAGGTTTAGGAGTAGGCCTAGTTTACATGCTAGTACGTAAGCCCTGTCTTGATAAGTGGTGACACAGCTTTTCCAAAATTAGAGCTTAGTAACATTACAGCCTACTTTATAGGAGCTGGTGTGTAACTGGATCCAGCTTTATGTGCTAGTTTCATCTGTCTGCTTTTCACCGAGCTATTACACAGATAGACTGTGTCGCTAGATGAACTTAAGAGGCTATATTGGGAAAGAAGGTTAGTTAAAGTATGGCAGGAGAAACTCTGATAGGACCTTGCATGGCATTAATAGTGAAGTATCGGCTCGGCACCTGTGGCTCAAGTGGCTAAGGTGCCAGCCACATACACCTAAGGTGCGGGTTCGAATCCAGCCCGGGCCCGCCAAACAACCATGATGGCTGCAACCAAAAAAATAGCCAAGCGTTGTGGCAGG